CACAAGCACTCGGGTGGAGGGGCAGAGTGGTCCACAAGCACTCGGGTGGAGGGGCAGAGTGGTCCACAAGCACTCGGGTGGAGGGGCAGAGTGGTCCACAAGCACTCGGGTGGAGGGGCAGAGTGGTCCACAAGCACTCGGGTGGAGGGGCAGAGTGGTCCACAAGCACTCGGGTGGAGGGGCAGAGTGGTCCACAAGCACTCGGGTGGAGGGGCAGAGTGGTCCACAAGCACTCGGGTGGAGGGGCAGAGTGGTCCACAAGCACTCGGGTGGAGGGGCAGAGTGGTCCACAAGCACTCGGGTGGAGAGGCAGAGTGGTCCACAAGCACTCGGGTGGAGAGGCAGAGTGGTCCACAAGCACTCGGGTGGAGAGGCAGAGTGGTCCACAAGCACTCGGGTGGAGAGGCAGAGTGGTCCACAAGCACTCGGGTGGAGAGGCAGAGTGGTCCACAAGCACTCGGGTGGAGAGGCAGAGTGGTCCACAAGCACTCGGGTGGAGAGGCAGAGTGGTCCACAAGCACTCGGGTGGAGAGGCAGGGTGGTCCACAAGCACTCGGGTGGAGAGGCAGAGTGGTCCACAAGCACTCGGGTGGAGAGGCAGGGTGGTCCACAAGCACTCGGGTGGAGAGGCAGAGTGGTCCACAAGCACTCGGGTGGAGGGGCAGAGTGGTCCACAAGCACTCGGGTGGTGAGGCAGAGTGGTCCACAAGCACTCGGGTGGAGGGGCAGAGTGGTCCACAAGCACTCGGGTGGAGAGGCAGAGTGGTCCACAAGCACTCGGGTGGAGGGGCAGAGTGGTCCACAAGCACTCGGGTGGAGGGGCAGAGTGGTCCACAAGCACTCGGGTGGAGGGGCAGAGTGGTCCACAAGCACTCGGGAGGAGAGGCAGAGTGGTCCACAAGCAGTCGGGTGGAGGGGCAGAGTGGTCCACAAGCACTCGGGTGGAGGGGCAGAGTGGTCCACAAGCACTCGGGTGGAGGGGCAGAGTGGTCCACAAGCACTCGGGTGGAGGGGCAGAGTGGTTCACAAGCACTCGGGTGGAGAGGCAGAGTGGTCCTACACATGACACCCCAGCTTCAGAATTGATATATTGATATATTTTCTCATTGATATATATCACGTTAATGTGATTTGTGTGTGTTTGTGTGTGTTACATTTTACAGTTTAATTGTACCTGATGTCTGTAGCTAAACGCCGTGTGTTGCTGAAGCTGCCTACATGGTCTACGAGAGCAGTGGGAGGGTGAATACATGGTCTACGAGAGCAGTGGTAGTCAATACATGGTCTACGAGAGCAGTGGGAGTTAATACATGGTCTACGAGAGCAGTGGGAGTTAACACATGGTCTACGAGAGCACTGGGAGGGTGAATACATGGTCTACGAGAGCACTGGCAGGGTGAATACATGGTCTACGAGAGCAGTGGGTGAATACATGGTCTACGAGAGCACTGGGAGGGTGAATACATGGTCTACGAGAGCAGTGGGAGGGTGAATACATGGTCTACGAGAACAGTGGGAGTTAATACATGGTCTACGAGAGCAGTGGGAGTTAATACATGGTCTACGAGAGCAGTGGGAGTTAATACATGGTCTACGAGAGCAGTGGTAGTCAATACATGGTCTACGAGAGCAGTGGGAGTTAATACATGGTCTACGAGAGCACTGGGAGGGTGAATACATGGTCTACGAGAGCACTGGGAGGGTGAATACATGGTCTACGAGAGCACTGGGAGGGTGAATACATGGTCTACGAGAGCACTGGGAGGGTGAATACATGGGCTACGAGAGCACTGGGAGGAGGTGAATACATGGTCTACGAGAGCACTGGGAGGGTGAATACATGGTCTACGAGGGCACTGGGAGGGTGAATACATGGTCTACGAGGGCACTGGGAGGGTGAATACATGGTCTACGAGGGCACTGGGAGGGTGAATACATGGTCTACGAGGGCACTGGGAGGGTGAATACATGGGCTACGAGAGCACTGGGAGGGTGAATACATGGTCTACGAGGGCACTGGGAGGGTGAATACATGGGCTACGAGAGCACTGGGAGGGTGAATACATGGTCTAAGAGGGCACTAGGAGGTGAATACATACTAGCAGATGTGACAATATGTATCTCACGTCGGACTGGGTAAACGTGACCTGCATTCTCATTGACTGGCTAGTGCAGTAGAAGGGGGATGCAAACTGTTCGTTCTGTCTTCATTTTGTAGATGATAGGACGTGCCTATGGGTAAGCCGGCTGCTGAAAGTCGGACGAGAACTCACCTAGTTGTGCTTGATTGAGCTTCCGCACTCCCTCCTCTCAACTGTCAGTCAACTGGCGAATAGATTCCTGAGCCTACTAGGCTCTATCATATCTACATTTGAAAAGTGTATGGACTCTGCCTCAACCACATCACTGCCTAATGCATTCCATCTGTTAACTACTCTGACACTGAAAAAGATCTTTCTAACGTCCCTGTTGCTCATTTGGTTTCTCAGTTTCCACCTGTGTACCCTTGATCGAGAATCACCCGTGTTAAACAGTTTATCTTTATGTACCCTGTCAATTTCTATGAGAATTTTGTAGGTAGTGATCATGTCTCCCCGAGCTCACCTGTCTTTCAGCATCGTGAGGTGCATTTCACTCAGCCTTTCCACGTAACGCATGTCCCTTAATTCTGGGACTAGCCTAGTGGCACACCTCTGAACTTTTTCCAGCTTCGTCTTGTGCTTGACAAGGTACGGGCTCGACGCTGGGGCCGCATACTCTAGGATTGGTCTTACATATGAGGAACACAAGGTTTTGAATGATTCCTTGCACAGGTTCCTTAAGGCAGTTCTGATGTTAGCCAGCCTCGCATATGCCACTGATATGAGTGCATAGAAGTGTGTGATGGGTTGTAATGGTGTGTTGCACAGGCCAAGCTTCTCCCCTTCCCCTCTATCGTCTGCCCCTCCTTTTTTTGTTCATTCTCCCCCCACCCCCCTCCCCCGATGTCCTATCTTTCCTTTCCTTCCCCTATGCCTTTTCCTGCTATAAAACTAGTCAAGTTTCGTTAGGCAAGGGAACACTTGCCCTTCCTTCGCCGGCCAATTCTATTCCCCTAATCCTCCTCCCAATCTACCTTCCCCAATCAACCTTCCAATCCTTTTACCCAATCCTCCTTCCCCAATCCTCCTTCCCCAATCCTCCTTCCAATCCTCCTACCCATCCATTTCCCCTCTCTCTCCTGTCTCCTCTATAGCCATTGACAAATTGAGGGGCAATAAACTCAGTCTGTGCCATATACATATAACTGCTCCGGGTTTCGTTGGAGGTAAGTGTGGGAATGGGCAAGTAATCTGCGGGAGTAAAACATAACTTTTAGGGCAGACCTATAGCCTAGCCTGAGGTTTGATTGGTGGAAGCCAGGGAGGCCTAGGGGACGGAGCTAGTCAGGGCACTAGTTGGCTGGACCAAGGCATAGAGCTGGACTTTTGAAATCAATGGCCTTATACTTGGAGAGGCGGGGTTTATTGGGTCTAGGAACTAGAGTGGGTGGAGTTTCCTTGACTAGTTAATTTGCGAGTAAAATGTTAGTCAGTATGTCCTAGGGTTGACTTTGAGACGGGGCCAGTTGCCTGGGGGCAAGCCATTCAACATCTGTGACTGGTGCTTGCAGGAGAAGGTAATGTGCTGTTGAGTAACTCATGTTCCATAAGTTGATACCTATTGCCTCATAGGGATATATTTACTGCCAGGATATAAATAAACGTGTCTTTTGTTAAATAAAGTGGATATTGATTTAGTGGTATTTATTTAACCCCCTTTTATTAATGTTGAATCGTTATATGTGGTATTTATGTGCGGTATTGGAAGTCCCTGTATCCCCAGTCAGTAAAGTTTTCTATATTTAATTCCCAAGCATTAATGCCAAGATTCCTATGCCCTTCAAGTTTCATAATTATTGATTTCTGTCCTTCCTGGGAGATCAGTAATACAGGCACATTCAGGTTCCAGGAACGTGATGGCAGCCGTAAGTTTAATTATTATTCATTATTTAAAAATCATAACCCTTTATTTGTTGCTTTCCCATCATAAAATATTTCAGTTTAACAGATAGCTAGGAGTTCAGTGATGGTCACAGTGAGCTTGCAAGCAGTGTTAAGCTGGGGTTTTAAGTGAGAAGGTGGAGTAGCAAAGTTGTGTGTAATCCCGTAATACCAATGTATTTATTAATTATTTCAGTGTTTCGGATTATTTCATCTTAGAGCTGGAGGTTAAGGGGTGGGTGAGGGCGATTCAACATCCCTCATACTTCCTTAACAATAATGTGAATTATCCAATGTTACAAGGCATGAGCATTATTCATTTGGTAAGAGGGATATCGAAGGCTAAAGCAATTGGTGAACAAAAAAAAAATGGACAATTCATTTGTCTCATACATTTTAATGACGCCAGAAAGTCCACTGATACGAGATTTTAAGGTCCGGGTGAATGAAGCTTTTTGACATCAGGAAGCATCATCAGACTACTGAACCCAGCCCGTCCTCCAAACAAAGGTCCAAAAGTGATTCCATGCACCCGCCAAACCCCCTGTTTATGAATGAAAAGCGGTTTACACACGACTCGCAACTGCTGACGTTCGAACATATCCGGAACAAGTGCTTCACTGACGAATTTTGTTCGAATCACAACGCTATAAATGCTTCACCCACGCACTACAAATACAAATAATCGCCAAAAGAACCTAAACACCTAACCTAACCTATCCTATGCCTATATATACACAATATGCTAATATATTATAATATTAATTTATACTTGCGAAAATTCCTGTTTTGAATGAACAGCATGTTAACATTTATGAATGCGTCTGTGGGGTTGACCGCTGAATGTAATGGACTTGAGTCGAGGACGGGTTGACTGAACCACCCAGTGTCTGATCACCTGACCGTTCTCCTGCTACTCTACCCAGGGCAGTAACGAGAGAATGGCTCGTTACTATGCAGGTTGCTAATGAGACTTACGTTATGAAACCAGGTGACGTTATAGACCTTAGGATTGGCCTTGAGGTGACAGGTGAAGGTGACAGTGCCGCCCTCACGAACACGGGCCTCGCCCCCTCCTCCTCCCCCGCTGATGCTGATGGTGGCCACCGGCACGACTGCGAACAGACACATACACACACAATAAACAAGTTTTTTTTTTTTATAAAAGAAATATACAAAGTATAGCACAATATACATGAACAGAAGAACAAGAACATTACAACAAAACATAAGCAGAAACACAGGCATAAAAGAGAACATTTCATTACAAGACCCTAGAAACTCCAGGGACATTAGTCCGAATACAAAATGAAACATAATAATGGACATACAACAAACGGACGCATTACGGACATGGAAAGACTCAACAAACATACACAGAATAAAACACTCACACATATACAAAATTTTAGTTTAGAAAAGAAATACACAATATACAAACCAGACAATAGAAAACATACATACATACATACAGGACAAACATAACAAAGTACAGAAACACGGATGCAAACTAAACATACACAACAAAAACCAAGAAATAAAACACATAAAATATGGCACAATGAGAAAACCCGAAACGGGCACTGGAGGGTACACACACACACACACACACACACACACACACACACACACACACACACACACACACACAAAAAAAAAAACAAAAAATAAATAACACGACATAAATAACAAAACAGTCACATCCACAAAAAACGGAAGTACAGAAATACAGACAGTAAACACAAAACAAGCCCATCCCAACAACCCAAACTCAGGTGCAGATTATTACATAACAACAACAGGCCTCATAAACCACCGACACAGAGGCATAAGTACAGAGCTACAGGAAACAAGAAAAAATAAAAACAAAAAACATGTAAAGACATAAACAGGGAAATACAGAGATAAACACAACAATGCCGCACACCTAATAAAGCAATGTCACAAGGACAAGATAATAAACACACGCACACAAGCGACATACACATCCACACCACTCGCCACCCCAACACAATACACAGGGCGAGCGCAACGACACGAAAGAAATAACACCAGACACCCACAACCACAACACAAGCACACACACCAAATGCAAAGCACAAGACATACAAGAAAACAAGCCACGCAGGGGCAAGAACAACACCCACACCACCCACACGCACAGACAAGGACACCCACCTGTGCACGCAGGTACTGGGGGAAACATCACGCACAACACAGACAGAAACCAAACACACCAATAAACCAATCACTCATACTTCTCCGAGTACTCCCGAGCAGGAAACCGTAAACAATAAGCCTCCCAAACAAGTTGGTCACTTTCAGGAATCGGACACCCAGGAGCTGCAGTAGGCCGAGGCATCGAATTTGGCACTCCCGAGACAAAACACTGCGCTCGTGGAACCCAGATGGTAGATGGGCACCAGGGAACAGGACGCACCAAGTCAGTACACTTAAAAGTCGCAGTTGCCGTAGATCCGTCGAGCACCTCGCCGGTCGAGAGGACAAAAGGGATGGGTTTCCCCCGAGGACGTTGGACACACGGGCGCACACTGGGAATCACATTTGACTGCACAGCAGGCCGCACACCGGCCCGCCCACTAGGGCGTGCACACCGTTCGGTGTCAGGAACCGCACCGAGACCCGCGGAGGGTGGCTCCGCAGGGGGCCCCAGAGCCCCCACCAACCCGAACAGGAGCAGAGGCCCCCCGCTTCACATCCTTCGTCAACACCACCACAAGGTCGCTCTTATCAGGGGCAACAGCCCACTGAGGGGAGCCACCAGCAGGAGGCACAACATCCAACTCAGAAGGCACCACAGGAGGCAACTCAGCGTCGGCCACATCATCATCCTCCATTGCATCACGCTCCTCTGCCCATGACTGGCGAGGTGACGCACCCCGAGCCGAGCGACGGCGCTTGAAAAGAGGCTGCTGATCGTCGGAGCTGTCACTCCCAACAAGCGGTGTCCCAGAAGAACCATCGACAGGCGGCCCCAAAATCGGGGCAGCACGTTCACGCAGAACAGCAGCCTCAACAACGCGGGGCCAAAAGCCACCACCAGGAACGGAGACCGGTGTCGGAGAAGGAAGAGACGCAATAGGCGGAAGGGAAGACGTCAGCACACGTGAGGTATCCAGGGAGGACGACGGAACAGGCAGAATAGAAGAGGTACTCGTTAACGAGGAAACTCCCAGAGGCGACGAGGCAGAGGACGTGGGTGGAGACACACAAACCACCGCACCGTCAGCCCTGGGAAGCACATGGCCCCCAGCAGGAGACGCAGGCACCACCCCTACAGCATCCCCCAAGGCCATCGGATGCGGATTCACCTCCACAGTCATCGAACGAGGAAGGTCCGAAACAGGCGCCCCCAGGTCCCCCAAGCTCACCGGCGGAGCAGACACATCCGGTCCAGACGTAGCGACATCCGGAACCGCCGCGGGATCCACACCAGGCACCAGCACAGAGCGAGAATCTGCCGGGGAGTCCACACGCACAGATAAGCGAGGAAAATCATCCTCCAGGAAGACTGAAGGGGCATCTGTATGAGGAGCGTCACAACCGGCCACGACCTGGCCCTCAGCACCACACCGGAAACACTTTCGGGTCTGCCCCTGATAGAAAGTCCTCAGAGATAGCCCACGATACGAGACCCTGGACGGTATAGGGCAAGTGAGCCGCATGACAAGCATGCGTGAACCCAGCCGGCCCGCACTCAAAGTGTTGAACCGGTGCTTCACCACCGACCCAAACCGCGTAAACAAGGCCATGAGGGCCGCCTCGGGGAAGGTCACCGGCACGCCATGAATACTCACAAACGTCAAGGGCCCCCAGGGATCCGAGATCTCTACAGACACAGCCGAAGCCGGAAGAGGAAGCGTGCGGCCATTCCAGCAAGCCACAAATTCCCGGTATACATGTGACGTGGCGAATGACACCGTAACACGGGCGGGCGACAACTTCTCTAGGCCCAGGAGCTCGGGGACGTCAACACGGAGGACGTCGAGGAGGGCAACTTCTACAACGGGCCAATCCAAATCAACAGAAAAAATCCAGCCGCACTGTGTCTATTCTTCTAATACGGCTAGTACCAGCCCCGTCCATACTGGCAGGTGGGGCCCCGACCAGCGGGAGCTCCACACCCCCCCCCCCCCACAGCAACCGCCACTCAGCAACGGCAGACGACCACTGACAGCCAGAGCTCGACGTCTGCACCCTCTGGTGGCGCAGCCAGGAATCACACACACACACAATAAACAAGTTGTAGCGAAATGTTTCATATGCAAACTATTGATTTTAAAACTTACTTTGTGATTTAGAAACATGTATAAGAGATACTTTGGCCAATAGGCTCATTGCAGCATACCCATCTCCTATGTATTACAGATAGTGGGACAGTATGCTGGCCGTCCCATGTTGGTGATGAAGACGGTAGACAGTAACAAGGTGATAGCTGGCTGTTGGTAGTTGACTGAATTTATGTGATGTGCAGCGCCTTGCCGACGTCCACTCTTCTACTGTTGTATCTGGCTATTATTTTAGTGTTGCAGTCGACAGATACTGCAACACTAAAAAAATCGTGACAGATGATTGGACACGAGCCAATCACTACACATGAGACAATCCCAGCCAGTCATCAACAGCCACCTGCTACAATGTCACTCTGCCATTTGGGACACCAAGGCGCAACTTGCAACATACTGTCTCAGTAATCATTAAAACACAGGAGACGGGTAACCTGTGGTGATTCTATTGCCCCATGTGACACTTCATCTCACTCAGGATTATATCGTGTGCTGCTTCAGCCAAACTGTAGGCACTTGTTTTCTGCCTCTGAGATGGTAAGCAAAATGGATTTTCTCAGTATCATGCTGTACTAAAACAAAACAAAATATTTTTGGAAAGATAATATTTCATCTTCGTTTTTAAATGAAGAAGAACACAAGAAATATATAAGAGATCAGTAGAGTAAAACGAGACAACAAAAGGAATTCATTTTCCGAAACGATTGGGCAGTGTTATGCCGAAAACCCCTCTGGGGGCGGAATAGTTATTTTTTTTGGGGGGGGGGGGGGAGTCAATCTGTGCTCACCTAATTGTGCCTTTTTTCTTTATTGTGTTTTATGGGCTTTATGTAACAAGTTAGAACATGTCTGGTATGGAGAAATGTGCATTTCAATGAGTGTGTATATTGAATATGTGTTTTGGTTATAATTTGTTTGCATTTGAAGTAAAAATGTGAATGGATTACAGGATTTGAGAAGCATAAGTTAATTGTATAGTGAGCCGTTTACACAGAACCCCATTTTCTGTAATGGTCAGGGATAGCCTGAGGCCAAATCCAATGCCATTAGCCAATTGGGTGTCCAGGTGAAAAATTCACTCTGCCTCGCGGGGTATCACGTGACTAGTAGGTCATCAACAGGGGGCCGCTACCTATGAATGCCTCAGTGGGGTCAAGCTTATGGGAGGGGGGGGGGAGCAAACCCATGACTATGAACAAGTGTAATATTCTTGGGTGTAGTAAGCCTTATTTTGAGCTTGCATGATGCTGTTGTATTCTTGGTCATGATAGGCAACCCAAAGAACCGGGGCAGGATGTGGAGGTTGGATATTTAGGTTCTCAAACAGGTCTAAATAGCTTCAAAGAGTCCTGTGTGTTTGATGGTGGATGAATGTTCAGTCAATAATTCTCGTGTATATAATTTGAATGAGGAATCCTAATTTACTTTGTATTACTAAAATGTGCACCTTAGCGTATTTTCTTGGGAAAATGAGTAAATAATTAAAAATGAGCACAAGAAACGCATTTTTATACGAGTCGGGTGTCAGGTTAAACTGTTTATTCAAGTAACCCCCTCTGCTTCCCCCCTTTTCTGTAGCAAAAGTAAAGATTTCATTTTCTGTGGAAGCAATAATAATATTTTAAAGTTAATAATTGTCGGTTTATGCCATTAATCATTTGGCTTCAAACTTTTTATCATATTGAAATCGTTCCCCAAACTAGAATCACATCATCACCATAGCATCGCTTACATATATTATTATAATATAAAGCTTTTGTATAATACAAAAAAATCATGAAGAGTGGCCACCAAGCAATGAAGAGGAT